TTTCCAATAAACTTTAGGTGCTCTTATAATTTTTAGCATCTTATGATATTAAATATTAGCCTAGAGTTAGGTAAAGCTTACATAAAATTAAGATAATATTTCTGACCTAAGAAAAAAATCTTGTACACTATTCTAGGCCAAGCACTATACTAAGCACAGAGTAGGTACCTTAGAAATACTGGTTGAGGAATTTAACTGCCAGGATGGAGCTTCATGGACATACATACTCCCCAGAGAAACAAGCAAAGCTAGAGAAAGCTATAAAAATATAACCTTTATTTAAATTCTGTAAAGAGTTGTAAGGGCTCAGAACAAATGAAGAAACGTTTATTCAAGAAAATCTACTAAAACTCAGTAAGAACATTGAGCCATGACCTATTCCCTCCCTCACCACCTGCCCATCCCTGCAACCAAGTCAGCTCAGCTTGGTAGCAGCTCCACTCTGGACAGATGTAGCCAAGAAGATGGGGCTCCATCTCCTCTCAGCTCCCAAATAAACCGTAGCTCATCTGAAAGGCAAGCCACTCGCATTTCTTATGCCTTTCAACTCTAAGCAAAGTGGCCAGAAAATCTGGTGAGTGGCTAAGAGGTCACAGGCTCTCTGCTTCAATTGCCCCATAGGATAAAGACTGCTCCAGTAATGGTAGGCCAACTAATGGGGCCCTGCTCTCCCCAATGCCAGCTCGCTTAAAGGACAGAGCTCTCAGCAGCAAGCCCAGAAAATCCAAGATTGGCTACCGCCCCACCCAGTACTTGGAGTAGTGGCCCAGAGATTTTTGTCAGGGGTCCAGCAGTCCAAGAAAGGAGAGCTTAAAAGTTCTCTCTGAAGGAACTGATTTTATTAGAAAGAGAATGTGGAGAATATAAAGTCTAAGGACACTCTTGAACAACAGTTCTTAATTAGGAGCAACAAGATAAACTGTAGGCCAGCTATTTTACCAGAGAACCAGGGAAAGAGACAGTTAAGAAGGGCTTCCCCCTGGTCAGAATGAACCTCAAAAGCTGACCTCAGTTCAGATGGCTGAGCAATGGCATGGCAAAAACAATAGAGTAATCAACTGTAATTGAGAGTTGGGTAACACCAAAGACAGACAGCCTATCAGAGATCAGGACAAGAGGTAAAAAAGAACCCTCCTAAAACCACTGTCATGCTGGGGTTACTGTATACACGCCCAAGACTGCCCCCTCTGAGGGGCAACATTAGGGACTTCACACTTTGGGGGAAACAGCCTTCACTAAAATAGTCCAGCCAAGTCACTAAACAAAGAAACAAGAAAAATAAAAATTCCTCCGTGGGGAGAAAGGAATCACTTTGAAGAACTGCTATATTATTGTTAAATCCAGGGGGAAATCCCGGGGCAAAATACCTTTGAAACCGAAATCAGTCAAAGGGAGAAATAAAGTGGGAGAAACCCGTTTATTAGGAGTAGTCATCCACTTCTGCTCACCCATGTCTCTCACGACCTGGCTACAAAAAAAGGAGTCCCACCCAATCTCTCCAGTCCAAATATGCCCTGGATCAATCTTGTAATCACCTACTGATATGGAGATGGACTACTTCTCTCCACCCCTTGGAAACACCTATTGATACAGAGATGCACTAAAGCCAGGTGAGAGATTCTGAAAATATTACAATTTTACCCACACCTTATCAACCTAGAATCTTTTATCTAGCAAAATTGCTTTCAAAAATGAAGGCAAAACAAAGATTTTCCAGATGAACAGAAACTTAGAATATTAATTGCTAGCAGACCGACATTATAATACTGAATAGAATTTTTCAAACTGAAAGCAAGTAAACCCAGATAAAAGTCTAACTCCAAACACACAAAAAAACCAAAAAAGCAGTGGTCAAGGTAATTATGTATTTATACTAGACAATATAAATGCATATTTCTCCTTTCCTATCTTAATAACTTACAAAGCAATTTATAAAGGAATATGTATATAATTATATTCTTGAGCTTATAACTGATAGAAATGTATTATATTCGAAAATAACAGCACAAAGGAGGTAGGTGGGAGCAGAGTTGTACTGGAGTATAGAAGTAAAACCAGATGGTGATGTGAACCCAAAGGAACAAGTGTGGAGAACCAGAAATGGTAAATAAGAATGTAAATATAACATACACTATATAAACTTGATTGTTTTTTTCTTGGTTTCTTTGACATAAAATTATATAAAATACCAATTATAGCACTATATTGTTGGGTTTGTAACATATAGATGTGATATGCATAAATACCAATGATAGTACAGAAAGATGCAAGACAATGGAATAGAGCTATCTAGGAGCAACACTTTTATATCTCACTAACTAACTAAATTAAGTTAGTATAAATTTGAAGTAGATTCTTGTAAGTTATGATGTGTATGGTAAGTCCTAGAGTGACCACTAACAAAGTAACTAAAAAAAGAAAGGTGAAAAAAATCATTAGAGATTTTCTTACAATATAGAAAATAGAAAATGACTGATGTTTCTGCCCAGTATACCAATAATAAACCAATATTCTAAAAATATACCAATAACATTGAAAAAGAGTGGATTGAACAATTCAGTCAAAAAGCAGAGACTCTCAGATTTTAAAAATTAAAAATAACCAATAGTTATAAATGTTAAACATTAGACTGGAGTTGGCAAACTATAGCTTGGTGGGTTAAATCTGGTGGGCTTATACTGTTTTTGTAAATGAAGTTTTACTGTACCATGGCTGCATCTATTCACTTATATTTTGTCTACAGGTGCTTTTGCACCATAATGGCAGTGTTATGAAGTTGTGACATAGAACATGGCCTGCAAAGCCCAAAATATTTTTTATCTGGCCCTTTCCAAAAGAAGTTTGCTGACTTCTTAGGAAAGGAAAACCAGTGTTGAAGTTCTTCCACTGATTCTGTTTCCTAGGGCAGTAAGAAGCAGGCCGTCACTTAAGAGTGAGAAGAGGAGAAAGGTCTTAGAAATTTGAGGACAGAGAAGCATAAAATAATTACCCAGTGAAAAGGTTAGTGAATGTACCAGGGAAATGGAATAGGGTTGCCAGACAGCACTAAGCACCCTACTTAAGGATAGTGGCAAATAATCATTCTTCTCTTTGGAAGACTTGCATCCTGACAGGTGCTTATAATGGATAATTTGGGTTCCAAAGTTGATTCCAAAGGTATAGGAATATTTTTGGATCTAACTAATTAAAAACTAAACACCAACTAATAAGAGAACAGTTCCACTGCTTTCAAGTACATAGACTTAAAACTTGGTTTATAACATTCTTATCTGTGGTTTTTAGGGATGTCTTTACAGAACTTGTTTTTAAAAAGGGAACAAAAATTTGTACTGAGCTATCTGTAACAGAATGAATATTCCAGAATTTATTACCACTCCCCACAGTAAAGCACTGTAATCAAATCAAACAATCATAGAAAGGATAGGAAGAGACACACTCTAGATAAAATAACCAATTTTATTAAACCATGAAGGAGTCTTATTTATTCTATTGATACTTTACCCATGAAGAAACGATTTATTCACAACAAAAGCTGCCACACTTACTCTCAATCTGTAACCTGAAAATTATACTGTATTTGTCAAAGGAATAAAAATATACTCAGAATATTCAAATACAATGGACTTTACAGTATTCCTTTCCCCTGAATAGCTACTTATATTTGAAGTACATTGGGGCAAGATCACTATTTTAAGGAATTTGACAAATCCTTTCAGAAAGTGATTATTGTATCAATTTTCATTTTCATAGTTTCAAATATTCATAGTCTCAAATATTTCATAGTCTTAAATATTCATAGTCCTAATACTTGAGTTTGGTTTGGTTAGAGGAAAGGAATAGTGACCTGTGCAGCTAGTAGAAGAAATATGATCATCTTTTATGATGAACTGAGCTGAAAGCCTATTTTACGAAGACCATCAGGTAGGACCCCTGTCCTTTTCCTATAATTGTTTTTTCTTTAAGTAAACTAAAACTAACATTTAAAGATCTTTTATTTGCTTAAGCACTGCGCTACTAGGGAAACACACTCTGTATTTAAGGTGTTATATTTGAAGTACATAGTCTCAAATATTCATAGTCCTAATACTTGAGAGAGTTTGGTTTGTGAAGTAAGTGAAGTACTTACTATCCTGTCATATTCCAGCTTAGTTCTAAGTCTTGAACCCATTTAAATTGAGGAATATCAGAAAAAAAAAAGTCTTGCTATGGCACTTGGGTTAAAATGTCAGACACAAATTTCTTTCAGTGATATATAATTGAGAATATTCTCTGAAAAAAAAATGATTTCAGTCTTGTTGCTTTGGTATAACCAAGAAATTTCTACTAATGATAGATAGTTCTTTACAATGTTCTTTTCCACAGATTTTTCCCTTTGCTTGATGTTTATCTTTCAGTGGTTATAAATAAACTGTATCTGTTCTAAGTATGGTACTAAGTCAAGCAAGATTTCACTACTATATTCTCTGTTATATTAGGCCATTCTTTCATTACCTTCGCTTTTAACTCTGAATATAATTATTTTTATTTTGAAAAATCACAAAGTAATTGTGTATTACTTCTTTAGACTGATGAGAAATTATATGACAAACGCCATTCACTTTCATAACATCTTCAAGAATTCCACATATAGTACATGTTATATGTTCACACAAGTAATTACAAAAAAATTCTAAAGTACTTTGTGCTTTCCACACTGTTCTCTAAATTTTCTGCCTTTCAAATTTACATTTAAAGTATTTTTTCCCAGGTTTTAAATCCATAATTTAAAAATTTTATACTGTATCTTTATCCTTTGCATTCTCTGGAGTACTTTCAAAATTAGTACTTCCTAATAATGTAATATAACTAAAAAAAAAAGGAATCCCTTATTACATAATGATTAAAGGGAAAAATAAGGACTAAAAGAAAGTTACTGATTTATGAACACTACAAATTCTGCAAGGTTCACTGTGACAAATGAACACACTTTTTCTTAAATGTCAAAGAATATTAGATAAGACTTTTATTTTTAATGTGATTTAGAGTGACAGGATCAAACTTAAGAATCATAATTTACTGCTTGATCAAATTAACATAAAAATATAACAAATTATATTTTTAACTCAAACTGACAAACCACATCCTAAAGAAAAATTTTCTGCTCTATGCTACCACAATTTTTCCTATGGAGTATGGGCAAAGAATGTGGTTAGATTGTGCCAAAAGTAGTTAAAAGCAACATTTTTAGGTAATTTAAATAAGAAATACACATATTACTCAAAACAAATTTTAGCATTATTTTCTCTGGAAAGTTAGCTTGCAAATGAAAAGAAGAAACCCAAATCCGCATATTGCAACAGCTGTGCTCTTCAAAATTCTACTCTTCCATGTAGACACCTTTTCCATTAATGGTATATGAGTTGGATCATTTTCTCGTTCATTTTGCAACTAATATTTAGTATGGGAAAAAGAAAAGAATTAACGTGCATATCACTGAAAATAAAAATATCTTTGATTTTTAAAAATATCATGATATCCAAGTTAATATATTTGATTTAGAATGTAGCCAATACAAGATTTCCACAGAAAATTTAAAGTAAACACATATGTCTTGAAAGACCATCTTCTTTCACCAGGATCCCATTATAGTAAATTACTAGTTTCACATTAAAGACAAATGCTTTCATAGATTAGTATACTTTAAAATCATATTTTTGTGCCAGGAGATAAAGTTTCTTTAACGTTCAAGTTTCTATTTCTAGTTTAGGAAAATAATGAAAGACAACTGTTATTTTTTTCTTTCTGTATGAAATATCAGTTGATTTCCTACAAAAAAGTGAACCATTCTTAGAGCATACCTACAATACATGAAATTAAAAACTGGAAGGCTCCAGTTAGTGCAAGAAATTTAATCTTTTATTTAAATATAATTGTCATAATCTTTTATTTAAATATAATTAACTATAACAAAAACTTAAGTGGTTGTTTTAACACTTCTCAGCAATGAACTATGTGACCCATTGGTTTCTAAATTCCCACACAGAGAACTTTCCTGCTAAAGAAAGCCTCCCCACGCCTTGTGTGTGAGTGTGTGTTTGTGTGTGTAAGAAAGATAGTTGCTGGGGGAGGGGTGGAAGAGGGAGAATGAGCAGAAACCAAAAGATTCCTGGAAGATAAAAAGAATCAGGCACATTTATAGAGTGATATTTACTAGAAACATCCTGTGCTAGAGTGGTGAATAAGTACTTTCAACATTAGCAAGAATAACTACTTCTAAAATCTACAAAATAAATATTTAATTTTAAAAGCCTGCAAAATTAATTTTAAATTTATAGCAGAAAACAGACTTCAATGCCAAACTCATTAATATGGTATTCTTGGTCTAACTTCCACATGGCTTCATTCAGCAACAGATTCCTTTTTGACACTGATGCTCCATTTACTGAGTCCTGAGACGGTCCTTCCTTTTATTAACCAATTACTTAGAATGACCCTTTCTGACAGGAGCCTGTCAGTGTGTTGGTTTGAAAGAGAGTGATGTGGTGTTAAATCTAGCCTTGACCTCTCCCACCCACCCTCTCTCTTTGTTACCTCCATACACTTATCTATAATAAAAAAACTCATGTTTTTTTTAATTCCCTTTAGTCATTATTGGTAAACTGAAATATCATAAGCTTAACAGGCATGATAGCATATTCCCAAGTCTGGAAGGCCTCACAGTTCTCTAAATCAAATCTCAGTGTAGTGAAGTAAGCATTACTAAAATATTTTGGTACCTGACTGAATTATGTTTTAGAGTCAAAGTCGCCTCTACAGCTGTGTTTTTTAATTTCATTCCTCTAAGAAAAATCTGGTCTCTAATTTCATGTCAATCTTACAATCCCACCAATGTTTTTAATTCATCTTGGAGAAAACAAATAATTACCAATCCTTAGGCAAAGATGTCTTACAGAATTTCCTACACTAAACATTGAAGGTTGGTACTTTGTAGGAAGTTATCTTTTCATAAATCCTTCCAAATTTCCCTTGGATCCCCATGAGAAACACACTAAGTAAATCAATACCATTTTCCTTCAATTCTTCTAGATGATGGAGGCAGTAAAGATGAATGGTGCTATCATGTTGTCAAGTTCAGAAAGTAGAAAATCAGATTTTTGTATAAGAAAGTCAACACGAGGAATGGTGTAGATTAAAGGAACAGAGAAATGGAAGCAGAATAATTAGGAGACTAATGTGTTAGCACAGTTACTTGACACACAGCAGGCACTCTTAGTTTGTTGAATGAATAAATATCAGAGGGAAAATGATTTCTAAGATGCCTCTTCTCAGGAAAAGGAGTTATCTTCTAAAAGAATTTTGAAATATACCATTCATTTGTCCCATTAAAAATGCTTTTATTCCCCTATTATTTTGTACAATTTGCTTTACAATTTCCTGTTCCCTTTTTTAAAAGACTCATTTTAATTGGACCTATATTAATAGCTAGAATGAAAAATTACCTGGAGCATGTATAAAGTTTATTTTGAGGAAAATATCTTTTTGATAAAATACTAATAAAAATGTTAAAACTTATGGTTGAAGCTATAAAAATTGAATGCATAACATTTATCAGATATTTCACAAAAACTTTATAGATACCAAATATATTTATTAAACAGAGAATGCAGAATTGAGTTTTTAATTGAATGAAAGTGTTTTCCTTTTTTACTTATCTTCAACAGAGTTCCCTATTTCAATAGCCTAGATTTTGTTATAGTCAATTTTCTTCTAAGGGGAAGAATCACCTATTCTTAAGTCCAGATATGTATACTTCTATATGAGTATAGAAATAACAATCAAAGAGTCCATGCTCTTTAAAAAGGTTAAATTATAAAAGATATTATAGGGAGCCTAGAAAATAAAAGGAATATTTTATCCACAATCAGATTAACAGGGCTAATAAACATTTCAACATTTCATTTTGGTAGTTTTTTCATCTGCACATTTATGCATAAGTAAAACTTACAATTTAACTTCATATTTTTAACACGTTGATATTTGATTTTCATTATTTTCTCAATGGGCTGCATAGCATTAGAACAAATGGGTGTACCACAATTTATTAAATCTAATATGTGTTAGTATTTTGTACTCATTAAACTACTATTGAAAGAAACAAATATTCTTATGGTCACATAAACTCTTGCCAAACTGCTTTTGAAAGGGATTGTGACACAAGTCTCACATAAAATTATTAGTTTGGTGAAGTCTAACCATATTGAGTAGGGTAATACATGTTCTCTGCTAATTTAAAAGACTGAAAATGATTTATCATTGTTCAAGGAACATTTATTTAATGAACAACAAAGTTTGTTATTACTGTGTATATTTTTTCCTTTGGGAACTATTTTTTCTACTTGTCTAGTGGGAGTTTAAGTTGCTCTTGTCAGAACTGCTTCACTGTTTAACATATTATGCTGTAAATCATTTTTCCCCTTTTTATGTTAAATATATACCTTCTGGATTAAGTCTTTTAGCTTGCAGACCTCTTCATTCAAATCTTCAACATTACTAACCAGTTCTTCACAAACTGAAGTAAAATTCCGGGGAGAAGCCCATTCTAGTGCTACCTGTTAATATTTTTAAAAATTACGTTTAAAGAACAGGAAACTTCTCACAACTTCATAAAATGCACAGAAATTATACAACACTCGTGAACATTAAATAACTAAAGGGCACTTTTTTTTGGTTCAGGATAAATCTTGACATCAAAATAAGTCAGTAATTTGATGTAAGTAGTAAAATTAGTTTCCTGAATGCATTAATAAATAATAGGTAGATATGACTTTATGGAGACCAATATTAGTAATAATATTTATGATGGAATTTAATAATTCATGAGGGTTTTAAGAATGACATGATTCCCACATAGGGTTACATAAATATCAAAGGAAAACAGTGCATTAAAATTTTTTTCACTATAGATGAATAATTAAAGCCAAATCACACGAAAAATTCTACAAAGTAAATTTGCTTTTATAGGTCACTTACACTTTCTCTATTTAAATTTTCTTTCATTCAGAAAACCCATATATTGATACGGTTTTTAATAACACTCAACACACTGTTCTGTTTCAACTTTCACTTGGGCCTCCCGTCACTTTATTTTAAACAATTAAATTCCTTTTAAGAACAAATGGTAAGTTTAAACTGATACATGTATCAGTTTAACGTTGGTCTGACTCACTTTCCTTTTCTTGAGGGATAAAACACAAAGTTTTTCAATTAGCTAGTATGTAAAGGAGTTAAAAACAAACTGACTTATTTAGACCTTATGTGAATTTGTAGAAGAAATATACAATTTTTCGAGGTCACTACTGTTTACTGAGTTATATTTAACTTATCTGGAATGTTCTCCAGCATTCATACTTTCTTCACTTAATAGCTTTTGTAGAATACCTTGTGAGAATTTACAGGCAACTCAGCAATGATATTCTGTACAGCTGTTACTAAATGGCCACACTGTTTGTTTAATTTCAGCAGAAAGTTGAGGAACTCATCACCACTAAAGAGAGGAAACAAACAGGAATCACTAATATGAACAATATACTTCATTTTCCTAGTTAGGTACTCAATATGTAGTCAACATTTATTAATTAAAAAATATTTATAGAATAGCTCATAAGTATTAGCAGCTGAAATAAACACTAAGTATACAAGAAGAACAAAATCTCCAATCTTGAGGATCTCAAAGTTCAGGATGAGAGGCAAACTTATAATTATAACATTGTTATTCAAAAGGACATATGAACATGGAATATAAAAGTACCAGTATTTATCTATTATGGGAGGTCACTGTACTAGTTATTTTACATTTATTCTTCTTTAATTCCTCCCAACAACTTCTGAAAGGTAGATAGTGTTAATAGCTGTATACTGTAAGGTATATTAGTTTATAGTTGAGACATCTAAAATTCAGAGATAATGAATTTAGTGTAAAGGGATTAGGGGATTAGGAATGCTTCATAAAGGTAATATTTGAACTGAGTCTGGAGCTTAACAATAAATTTGTCAGGCAGGTAAGGAAGAGAAGGAATTCTGGATGGAGAGCACAGGAGGTGCAAAAGTATGGGGAGTAGGAGATCACCAAAGTATAACTAAAGGACAATTATGGGAAAACAGTAAGAAAAGAGGCTGAATGCAGCCATTTATTCAAGGAAATTTTGTGACATGCTAAGGAATTGAATTTTATCTTTTGATAATGTAGAGTTAGTAAAGGATTTTAACAGGAAAGCAAAAAATCAGATTTTTGTATGAGAAAGCTTATTTGGGGGGTGGTGTGGACTAAAGGAACACAAAAGTGGAAGTACAGATAATAATTGGAAGGCAAATGGAAAAATTCATCTAAGAGATGATGAAGGAAAGTTTTAGGTCTGACGGGCAATATGAATTGGAAAGGGGCAGAGTAGTAGTTTAAGAAACATCAGGAAGAAATAAAGAATCATCAGACAGTGTTTATAATAGCTCAATAAGAGAGTTAAAATAGACACTAAGATAGTAAAGAAGCTAACCTTGAACCTTTGGTAACCACAAACTTAAAGCCTGCAATGGCAATAAGTACATATCTTTCAATAATCACCCTAAATGTAAATGGACTGAATGTACCAATCAAAAGACACAGAGTAACAGAATGGATAAAAAAGCAAGACCCATCTATATGCTGCTTACAAAAGACTCACCTCAAACCCAAAGACATGCACAGATTAAAAGTCAAGGGATGGAAAAAGATATTTCATGCAAACAACAGGGAGAAAAAAGCAGGTGTTGCAATACCAGTATCAGACAAAACAGACTTCAAAACAAAGAAAGTAACAAGAGATAAGAAGGACACTACATAATGATAAAGGGCTCAGTCCAACAAGAGGATATAACCATTATAAATATATATGCACCCAATACAGGAGC